TGTATCTGAAAGATTCTTGAACTGTTTTAGAAGACGTAGTACAGTAACCTAGCGCTAGGCAGGGATTGGTTGCGTCAAATATGTTTCCAATGTATAATACCATAAGCTGCTAAGGTAGCTGAGAGACTTAAGGGGGAGATTTTGGACTCTTGAGGACGTGGGTTCGAGTACTCATACAGTAAATTTTTTTTCTAGCAAATGTAAAAAATTATTCTAAAACGTGTACAAGAATTTCTGTAGTAAATTTAGGAAGTCGTCTTGAAATTTTCTGCAATTCTTATATAAATAGCGCTTAGAATTTTTCAAAGAAATATTAATAAGATTACTTAAATTATGGTTTTTTGCGATTATCCCGTAAGAAACGCAAAATTTCGAAAAAAGTTTTAGACAAAAGTTGTAGATCTCAAAAAAACACACATTTTATGTTTTATGCATTTTTTACCAAAAGTCATTATTTTTCGAGAAAGATCCAAAAAACGATCAAAAACGCAACAAAATGATGGAAAAATAGTAACTAGAGAGGAATTTGGTAGTTGTAAGTATACTAACGTATTTTGGCGCGCTGATTACGAAAATAATAGTGAAAATTTGATTATCATAGCGAAACCGTGGCGAGAGGGGGTGGATATGGCCGAAAGTATTTAGCAGGAATTGTGGGGTGGAGTCTACAGCAGCGGTGAACGCAAAATAGTAAACACGGCCTTCGGCCGCGTATGGTACTGCACGCTTCTCTTTTTAAGAAATCTTGGCGAGAGGAGGTGAATGTGTCCGAAAGTAATTTGCGGAAATTGTGGGGTGGAGTCTACATCAGCGGTAAACGCAAAATAGTAAAGGTACTGCTCGATTTTCTTTTAAAAAAACCTTGGCGAGAAGGGGTGGATATGGCCGAAAGTATTTTGCGGAATTCGTTGGATACTGAGTAATGGTGAATTTATGATACTATATACGAGTCAAATAATATGTCTAACCATGACTGTTGTATATGTTTTCATTATCATGGTGTTTTTGGTTTTTTGGATTTTTCTCAAAAAATAATTACTTTTGGTAAAAAATGCATAAAACATAAAATGTGTGTTTTTTTGAGATCTACAACTTTTGTCTAAAACTTTTTTCGAAATTTTGCGTTTTTTACGGGATAATCGCAAAAAACCATGATTTTATGGTGTTTTTATAGTTTTTACCATGATAATCAAATTTGCGCCAATTTTCACTATCATTTTCGTAATCAGCGCACCAAAATACGTTAGTATACCAAGTTTCATTAAGATCGGAGGTACCCCTACTTCGGAAGTACACCCAAATTATTTTCATATCCTCAGTTCCTGAACAAATTTAGGAATAATTCTTGAACCAAGTTTCTCCGTGTTATATTCATATTATATTTAACGCACGGCAATATTGATTATGTCCGCCCTGAGGTAATATAAATTGACAAGCAATATTTAGAAAACATTGCTTTGTCAATTTATTATCTGCAATATTGCTGTCAACATTGTCCATGTAGAAATATATACCTATTTGAATCTTGTTTGATATTTGTCCCTGATAAGAATAGCCTGATTTTAGCCTTATCAGGAAATTTTCGGGACCTAACAGGGTACCAGAATGCAGATGTCACTTTTAAAAAAATAGAATGCATAGTGTTTGTTTTTTTACAACCTAATTTTTGTTGACACTGTATAAAATATAAAATATACTTAGTTATATAGTTAATAATTAAAAAATAATTTTAAAAAATATTTAATATGAAGCAAATATGCAATACGATTACTAGTACTGAAATTTAACATAAATTTCCGTTAAATTTAATATAAATTTACATTCAATTTAATACACTATGCATTAAATTTAAAGTAAATGTATATGAAATTTAATGAACCTGCATATTAAATTTCAGTACTAATATTGCATATTTGCTTCATATACAGTATATTAAATTCAATACAAATTTTTCTAACAGTGATACTTTTGTTTTCAAATAACGAAACATTTTTTTCTTATAAAATTTATTTTTACTTTATATATTTTATTATTATATATATTATCTATTTGAAATTGATTTTCTATGAAAATACACGGAAAGAAATCTTGTAATAATATTTAATAAATCTGAATAGAAATTTTGATATTTTTGTTTTTCAATTGCGAAACATTCTGGTTTGATAATAAAAGTTGGTATAGTTTTACGAATTCCTTTAACTGGAAACATTTTACGAAAACTGAAATTATTATTTCTTAATTCAAATCTACAATTTTCGAATATTGAAAAAACTATAGGAAAAAACAGTATAGGAAGTAAACAGTCTAGCAGTTTGTTATTTACTAAATTTATACGAAAAATCAGAACCAACATTTCGTAATTTGCTAAAACTATACGAAAAAGTAGGAGTGGTATTATAAAATAAAGCACGTTTCAATATTTGCTAAAACTATACGAAAAAGCAGGAGCTGTGAAAAAAAGAAGAACGTCGGAACCACCAATGGCTCTTTTCTAAGATTCTCTCTCCTTTTCTATTCGAGGGTAGTGGGAGTCTTTCTTAATACACACACCTAACTGGTACGCTTTGATTGGCTTAAAATTATTCCTAACACATCCTAACTTCAATACGAATACATAAACGCAGAATAACGCAACGCATATAGATACATAATTCACGCTGAAATGAGAAGTTCTGAACTTCTTTATATACTAAATAGACAGATTTTTCTGCACTTGTGAGAAACTTAATATTACATTGTTAAATATTTAAAAATAAAAATAAAAATAATTATTTATTAAAAAATAATAAAATATTTTATTACCTTTCAAAGAACAATTTTTATCATAAAATCATTTAATTTAATTATAGAAGCAAACTTATAACAAATATTCTATAATTATATTTAGAAAAAGAAATACAGAATAATTATATGTAAATATAAGGATTTCACACCAATCCACTTTCTTATCGACTATATCAAAATGTAAAATGATTATACCAGTTAACGGAATTCTAAATACAGAAAATGAAATATTTTATTCTAACACTTGTTACAGGGCGTATTAGAATTTAACATTTGAAGTTTTCATAATACAATTATGGATTTCGCAAAAACTATTCTAATTTTTGTTTCTAAATATATTAAACTTTATCATTTTTATTTTAGGCATTCTTAAAAAATAGTAATGAAATCTATTAACACCCCAAAATCTTCCGTAATTGTAACTTAATATACTAAATATGAGTGTCAAAATATTAAATATTCTAACAAGATTTCTATTCGTTTAAGGTTAGGTTTACAGCTTGTTAAATCAAATAGTATTGACGTTCTTCACATACATATGAAAGATTGGCAACTTCATATGGCTAAAACACCTATACTGCATTATTATAGTACTAGCAGAAATCCTAACTTTACTTTTATGTCTGTATATTATGTCATACCAGAATGACAATATCACTTATAATTATGCCAATGTCTCACTAATATTTTTTTCAATATTCTTATTTTAAATATTTTTTCTTTCAACTATTTTATTCAGATTTTTAATAAATAAATTTATAAATTATTAATTTATATATAATTTTTTAAATAGGTATTTAATTAATCTTCTTAACCATTTTTATTAGCAACCCTATTCACCCATTGAAAATCACTGTACAAGATCTTGTACGAGAAAATGTAATATTTCGTACAATTAAGAAAAAATGACCCCTTTGACGATCCGATTTGGCCCCTATGTTTAAAATTCATCGTTTGGTTTGATCAGGTGAGGCGTTTTATTTCATCATTTCCCTGATTGGGGCCCTATTTTGCATAAACTGGTCCTGATAGGAACAAAAATTTCAATTTCCGCCTTGAGTCGTAATATTGAGGCAGTATGCGTTTTGTTTGAGTCGACACTTAAAAGTATTTTAAGTATGTCAATGTCTCACCTAACTTCTGAAGTTTATTTCACGCTTATTATGTTCTACCAAAAAGCTACATACAAATTTCATATAATCATCACCATTTCTTTGATTTTATAAAATTTTTGGTCGAAGTTATCGACTAGAGTGAAAAATAATTAATTTTGTAAATTCATGAAAGAACAAGTTTCGACAGGTTTCACAATTCTTTGTAGTGAAATACTAGTTGATTAAAAGGTGGAAAATTTTGTTCACTGGCGACCTCAGATGACATGTCGCCCTGGGCTAAGTTGTAAGAAAAAGACTTAAATCGTCCTAGGAGGTAATAGGGACTGATCCTGGATCCACTTATTTCAAATAATTTAATGTATGTCCCTCCAATCCCTTAATGGCTTTTTTTAGATCCTTTGTCTGGATTCGTCCCTGGTTAACTACTATAGTTAATCGACCTTACTGTATATGTACATGACATCATTTAGAATACAAGAAAGGCAATTTTGTAATCTCACATTCTCTGAGTTTAATAAGATCAAGGTAAGCTCATATTGTATTGTCTTTAACGTCACTATTTTTTACAATTATTGTATGTGACTTTTATAAGCTCTTTAATGACTCATCTCTAGTCTATTGTAATTAAATAAAATTAATTTAACCGTTCAATTTTAAAAATGTAGATATATGTGGGGCATTATTCTTGAACTGTCCTAGTCAGAAAATTAAAATTATTGGATTGACTTGTAATTATATGTTAAATATATGTCCCACGTGAGTGTAACAAGTCCCTAAAATATTAGCTCAATTAAATAAAATAAATAAATAAAATAATAAAATTTACTTCTCAATGCCAAACATTATTCTTCACTTTCTTCTTCTTTTACTGAATATTTTTATTCAAAAGCTGAGATTTTTTCACGTCACATAAGTAAATTAATAATAATTTATAAAACTTCTAATTATAACCATGAAAAATAAAAGGGTGCCTTTTTCCTCTACAAATCCTCTCAATTCTAAACGTAAACTCTAAATTGAAGAGGAAATTATTATTATTATTATTACAAGAAATTAATGTGAATTTGGAAAAACAAAAAATGAAATTTGAATGCTTCTTACCGTTTTATTGATCTGCAGTTAGTACTTTATATATTCCAGATGATTTATCCAAAAACAGTAAAAGAATTCTCATTCCTTGCTAAACGTCGCAAACCGAAAAGAATCAAAGATTCGAGGTAACGGCGACGACGACGACGATGACGACACTTGATAAACATTGAAATTCGAGCTTGTATACTCGAGCACCGCTTAATTCGTCTTGAGGATTGCCCCAAGAAGTAAAAAACGAAAAAAACTATATTTATATATATATATATATATATATAAGTCAAGTGCGACACTATCACATTACACTATATTGTAAATTTTTTGCACATTTATCCTCGTTTAGAAACTCTTCGACTTGATCAATATTCTCGAATCTTTTCCATCAAAAGAAATAAGAAATGAAAAATCAGTATATCAAAAATTAAAAAAATATACTGTAAAGTTTATACAATTTTCATCTTTACAGTTGCGTTTCTTCCATTGTTTTTTCTGAAAAAAAACTTGAAATTTTAGAAAGCTCGTGTGAGATCACTACTCTGTAATAACTGATTCAACGTGAAATGGTCCTTGAATTCTAAATGATTAGGAAAGAGTTAGTCAAAACACAATCTTGCAACAACTGTGGATTATACAAACGACGATGAAGAACTTTTTCCCAGCTCTGGGTACTTCAGGGTCAGCCGGCTGGCTTCGATACTTTTACCTGTTGGAAATACTCAAGGACTCGAAGGTGGCTCTTATTCCTTTCTCTTATCCTTTCGCGCGCACCTTTTTAATTCTGTCAGCATTTTAAAGTACTTTTCGTCTTGTACAAAATCTTTCTCAGTTATTGCATGCATAATAATTCTATCATGTCAACTGAAGTCACAGGACCATTATCAATACAAAAACAGGCAGCTCTCTCAAGAACGCGATATGTCCTCGGGTCAACAATACCTTGAATCTTCCACTTCCGGCCTTTTCCTCTACCACTTTTCCTTCTCCTCCTCCTCCAACTTCATTTGAGCTCGTTCTCCACCTCTTCCTCTACTCTTATTCCTCTTCTCTCCAAGCTTGAACGTTGCAATGATCACCCAACCGTGAAGACACTTCCATCTATCTTTGTTCTTTTTCTTCAGTCTCTTGCTGGTGAACGAGCTTTCTATTCCCTTAGTTTTAATTAATACTTTTATTATTGTTATTTTTTTCTCTTTCGTAATAAACGGTTGACAACACCTTTCTTCAAGGACACAAATGCTTTATTTTTATGCCGTGTCATATGAAACCTTTTAACTCGTTTTAAGTTAGGTTGAGTTACGTTATTATATAATCTCTTCTTTCCCTGCTATTTTCTAATTCTCCGGATAGCCTCACCTTCGCCTCTTTTACACTTCCTCTTGTGTCAACTTCCTGTTTTATTTCTGTACAGCACAATGTGGCGACTAGATCGCGTTCATCAATGAGGTTACGATAACGATAGAGTTGGAGACAGTCGCGAAAGCAAGGCAACCTGGAAGGGATATTTGACTACTTTGCTGGCCTCCACGAGATCGGATTTTAACGCGCTCGCGCGGTTTAAGTCGAACTCGACAGTTTCAACTTTTACTTTCAGCTCTTACACAACACCAGCTTGCTCTACTGGTACGTACAAGCAATAACCGAAGTAAAAGAGGTTCGTTTCGTCGCTTCAATGCCTCTTCTCGACCTTTTTTTAAACAGACAACTTTCTTTAGTTTTTAAAAACCTGTTCTCATTGTCCAATTGTCACCAATAACACTTGAAAAATAAAGATTTCTTTTTAAAAAATCGGAGATTTATCCCATCTCTATTAATAATAATTTTTTGCCACAATTGAAAATTTAGCAGCTGGAACGTTTCAAAAAGTATGTACGCTACTACGCTTGCGCCCCTACACTTCACAAATCCTCATGTCTTCACTGACATTAATGTTGCTTGAAGAAATAATAGCACAGTGGTGATTGTCTTCCGCACATAGAACCACACACAGTCAGAAATACACTGAAATACTCAGAACTGGACTTTAATAAAAAATATATAATTCAATTTATAGGAACAAGTACGCACAATACAAAAATAAACCTCGTTAAAAGAGAGACTTTCACTAGTTGGAACAAATACGAGAGTTTGGCGGGCTCTCTTCGAAAACGTACTCTGAGAGAAAGGGTCTCTTCCGGTCCCCGCGGTGTGTCTCACTGTTTCTTGCTCCGGCGTAACTTTTGCGCAAAGCGTAGATCCTCTCTCTCTTGCTCTTGTTCCCTCCTTCTCTTTCACTCTCCAAGTCCTAGGTAATCGGGTATGGAGAGAGGTAGAAGCGGAGGTGGTAGCTATGATGCTGGTGGTAGTGGTAATACCAACACTGACAACTTACTTAATAGTTGTATATCTATGTGCAACTGTTGAATTCTGGAGGGAATCACTATTTGTTTAATTAATATCCTTTCATTTTTCCAAAGGAATTCACGGTTCATTATAAGTAGACTGAAACTGGGGAATAATATTTACACGCATGCTGGCTACCACGTGATCGAATAAAAAGTAAGAAATATTGAGAATATACGCATGGCGTTTCGTAGGCTTTCGTATTCTCGGGTGTCTCAAACCAAGCTATGTATGTATATATATACCGCACACTTTTGTTTAATTCATAAGTAAGCACAAGCTACTTGACGAATAAGTTGAGGCTAAACTACAAACAACTTTGTAGACTCATCTCACTTTCGTAGGAAACTGTCTGTCCGTGTGTAAGTGCCTCGGCACGAATGTATCCCCACCTAAACCTTAAACTCTCTCCCTTCCAAACAAACCTGAGACACGTACACACGCCCTCCACTACCTCTTTATACTCAACAGCCTTCACACTCAGCTTTTAACTCTCCCTTTCCCCACCATACGACTCTCACTATTACATTACAAATAGCTCTCTTGCCTAGACTTCTGGTTGAAAAGAATATGTGTTTTTATCCGTATATAATGTAAGAATTTCCAATATGTGAACTAGTGATAGGGAGAACTGCTCTTTCTATCCTGCTCTTTCCTGGTTGCTTTAATGGATAGTTATACATTTTCATACACTCTCTTTGTCACACATGTTCCTTCAACGCGACGCTTTTTCTCCTACTACCTAATTCTCTAATCTCACTCTCCCCGTCCACCAAACGGGCTTGGATTTAGAGACTCTCTTTATTTCAGTAATGCTGTAATATAAAGCATGAATAGTTTACTCCTGCATATAATACGTAATAATGAAACGTGAGATCTCACACATGTATAAATGTTCTTTAGAGAAAATTCATTTCAACTACCAACTTTTTATTAAAGTAACCAAATTTTACCATTTCACAGTAAAAACTTGGGTTCATTTTTGCTGCGTTCTGGATCAAAATTGATAATAAGCAAACTTCATGTGACTCAAAATGATCCTTGTCAAGATTATGACTATTAACTTGGTCTAAGCAATTCAAATCTAATATCAGAATTTAATTTAAAAGTATTGACAATTTATAATTAAAAATTGAAACAATAAAAAATAAAGTAAAAAATAATTAAAGTCAATGATATTACTGAAGACATTTACTTCGATGAAAATTTAAGTTTAAAAATTAAATGAACTACTTTCTCAAACAGTTGATGATAATAGTTATTAATTAATTTAATAGTTAATTAAAAATAAACAAAAATAATTAAAATAAAAAATTGACTCAAAATAATTTATCATTGTTACTCTTGTTATAATTATAACAATCAAAAATATTTAAAGAAAGAAATTTTAAAATTTTTTATTTATTGTGATTGTTGAATAATTTCTTAATATGAAAATAATTTTGTTCATTAAATTATTTCTAATTTCAACAATTATTTAGTTAGGGTCGTTCTCAAACTTCGTCAATAAGCTTTTTTGTACCCATTTTAGACCCTTACTCCTAACATCACGATTTGATACATACATACAAAGTGGATTTTTTTTCACCATTTATTACAAGCACCTTGACCCCTCTCCACCCTAGGAGTGTGACGTAATTTATGAATGATTCATTTTTATTAAATTAATTAATTATATGTTTGTTTATTTAATTTATTGCAATTAAATAAAATATAATCATCATTTTTTACTTGAGTAGATGCACCAATTGAGGAGGTCAATCAAATAACTCGATTCGCGTTCGAAATATCGCCCTTATGGTATTTCGACGCATCAAAAATAGTGAAAAATTAAAATTCAAAATGTTAATTTTTTGAAAACACTATCTTGTAGGAAATAAAAAAACACAACTTTTTTCATGAATACTTTTTTTTGTAGAACCAATATTAATTAAATTAAAAATTAAAAACACCAAAAATTTTTTTTTCAAATTTAATTAAATTTTTAAACATTAATCGTTGTTTTGAAGTCAAATGTTAATGAATTAACTTGCAATTTTTTATACCAGTTCATTTGGGTCTGCTGAAACCGAAAAAATCATAAAAACTTTAAAAAATTTTTATTGTTTAATTATTTTTTATTGTAAACAATGACCTGTCAGAAATATATTTTTCTTACTTTCGATGAGGAAAAGTCTGTGGTGAAGTTTCGAATTGATCAAACTTCCAGTGAGAAAGTTGTTCCTCGATATTCAAGGAAGTTTTCTGGAAAATTTCAACAAAATTTATTAAAAAATAAAAAAGTTATGCAATTTTTAAAGAATACGCGCCGCGTGTCACTATTATTTAACAATTAATAATGATAACTATTTATTAATAATTAATTATTAAGAATTATTTATTATATTTATTATTAATATTTGTATGGTTAATATGTCCGTCATTTTTTTCTCTGTTTAAACATGTGTTTTTATTTCATAAATTTTATAATTTGTACAAATTTTCATGGCAGTGAACACATTTTTTAGTATTTTTATCTTATACATATGTTTTTAAACCCTTTATTTATAAATATTATTTTTTAATTTTAGAAATAATGAAAATGACTCTTTGGTCAAGCTTGATATTAATAAAATAATGAAATGTCACAATTATTATTAAAATAGTTAATAAAAATAATGAAATAAACAATTTATTATTAAAATAATAAAATAAAATCTAGTATCATTTGTTAGTTATAATAAAATCATTAATACTCTTCACTGTTTATTTGTATTAAAATATAAATCTCTGTGATTTTATTCTATAAATTTAGTTGAAATTAAAAGTTTTTAATTAGTGTAGAAAATGCAAATATTTTATTGTTATTATTATTATTAAAAAATGTGCGCAATGAAAAATTTGTGAAATAAATACACATGTATAAACAAGAAAAAAACATGTGGAATTGAGGCACCCAATCGAACAACCGGTCGCGAGCTCGGGCCGGACGCTCAGAAGCCAGTCAGCGTACGAAAATGTAAATAAAATTGAAATTCAAAATTTTAATTTTTTAAATATATTACCTTATAGAAAATTAAAAGGTGCATCTTTTTTCCTTTAACTTTTTTTGCATCTTTTTTTCTTAATAAGAAATTTTCCATCTTTTTCCGTTTTCGAAATATAAGAGAAAAACTGTTTTAAAAAAAAAGAAAATTTTCATTGTTTTTTTTGACTTCAACTCGCGACAGCTCAGACAATTTTACGAATTTCTTAATGAAACAAAAACGAAAATATGTGTTATTATATTCTACGAGTGACTAAAAAAATAAAAAAGTTGTTTTGATTAAAAATAAAAAAGTTATTAATTTTTTAATAAGACATTGCAAAATTCATGAAAAAATTAATGAAAGTTGTTCATTAAGGTCCAAAAAAGTTTTCTGGAAAGTTACAATGCAATTGAACAATTAATAACAAAATGGTGAATGTTTAAACTTTAAAGTTGCGCGAGCGGCTGAACGTTTGGCGTGCGTTTGCTACGTAATAACTTAATTTCTTATTAAGAAAAAAAGATGCAAAAAAAGTTAAAGGAAAAAAAGATACCCCTTTTAATTTTCTATAAGGTAATAAATTTAAAAAATTAAAATTTTGATTTTCAATTTTATTGACATTTTCGTACGCTGACTGGCTTCCGAGCGTCCGGCCCGAGCTCGCGACCGGTTGTTCGATTGGGTGCCTCAATTATTAACCATAATAATAATAATAATTTTTTTCGAAGGAATAATAGTTAATAACAATTTAATAAAAATACTAATAATAGAAAAAATAAATTAATAACATAAAGGTGACTATAAAGGTGCTATAACCTTTATAGCACTGTACTGTCTATTGGAGCGAATGTGACACGCGGCTCGTATTCTTTAAAAATTGCATAACTTTTTTATTTTTTAATAAATTTTGTTGAAATTTTCCAGAAAACTTCCTTGAATACCGAGGAATAACTTTCTCACTGGAAGTTTGATCAATTCAAAACTTCACCACAGACTTTTCCTCATCGAAAGTAAGAAAAATATATTACTGACAGGTCATTGTTTACAATAAAAAATAATTAAACAATAAATAATTTTTAAAGTTTTTATGATTTTTTCGGTTTCAGCAGACCCAAATGAACTGGTATAAAAAATTGCAAGTTAATTCATTAACATTTGACTTCAAAACAACGATTAATGTTTAAAAATTTAATTAAATTTGAAAAAAAAAATTTTGGTGTTTTTAATTTTTAATTTAATTAATATTGGTTCTACAAAAAAATTATTCAGGAAAAAAGTTTATTTTTTTATTTCCTACAAGATAGTGTTTTCACTATTTTTGATGCGTCGAAATACCATAAGGGCGATGTTTCGAACGCGAATCGAGTTATTTGATTGATTTATACAACATGTGACTTTGGTATTTTTTTCTTAGAAGTACCTAAATGTACTTAAAAATTTGAATTTTGTGCGATTGAATGAAAAATTTAATAATGTTTAATATTCATAATTTTTTTTCTAAAATAAATTATAGTGTTAGATAAAAATTGTTTTTAAATATCAATTGAGCAAAATTTTGTTGACATAACAAATTTTATTTATTTCATTATTTATTTATTATCAATTTAACATTAAATTTATTTTTATCCAATTGAAATATTTATGGAGTTTGAAAAATCTCATCTCCGTCTGGGATCGAACCTCTGTTTTAAAACTGCAGGTCGGGAGCTCTGACCACTGGACTACCCATCCTTGTGAGAGATTTAAACTAACTGTTCTCTTAAGCTATGAGCTGAGTGCGAATCAAATTATTTGGTTGTCGCAACCAAATTTTGGTTAGGACAACAAACGATTATTTGACCAAACTATTTTGTTGTGTTAACCAAATTATTTTATCGTCGTAACCAAATTTTGGTTGAAATATAAAAATGTCCAACCAAATAATTTTCTTGGCCTAACCAAATGTTTGGTTGAGATAACTCTACGACTTTGTTTCAGCTAACCAAAATTTGTTTACAATAACCAAAATTGCCTAACCAAACAATTTTGTTGCAAACACTAAACTTTTTTCTCACTGTATAAAAGTTTTGCACTACTGACGTTTAATAAACAAAAACTTAACTAACTTTAATTTACATTTTTTTTTCGTTCGAAGCATCGACAAATGAGGAGCTGGATCGAAGAATTGACGCTTCGCTCGGACCGGACGCGCTAATACCAGTCGGGTAGCAGTGTGTGGTCCAGAGGCGCTCACTGCTACCCGACTATAGTATGAGCGCGTCAGGTCCGAGCGAAGCGTCGGTTCTTCGATCCAGCTCCTCAAATGGTACATCAGCTAAAAATCTGCACCAATTTTCGAATCAGTACCTCGAAAAATAAAGCTGAGATAAAATATGGAACCAGATACTAA